ATATCATTGGTCCAACAAAAGTATTTTTTGTCATTTTGGTTAAATGTTAATTTTTTTCAATTAATTACACCATAATTTGGATGCAAACAGAAATTATTAAGAATCACTTCCAATGTCTCACAAAAACAAGTAAAATCTAAACGTTTATAAATGATATTCAAGAAAAGTATTCACAAAAAGAAAACATTCAAAATTGCGTCTATCGGTGTATTAATAGTTATGACTTTTGCCAGACTTTGGGTAAAAAATAACAATAAGACTAAAGACTAGTCCTAATGAGAGACTCTCATTGACTTCACTAATATTTTATTCATTCAGTCATTTCCAAAACTTTTTCGCAACAAAACATTTTTGCGAAAAATAAAACACTACTCATTTGAACATTCAAAATGATTTGAGTGTTTAATTAATTAATCAAAACTGCGAGTCCTTATATCCAAAACTGAATTTATATTCAATACATTTTGCATTAACTAAAGGGTTCTCCGAAAAAAACCAGAAAATCATAAAACTTTAAGTAAATTAATTACTGGTATATTATTCAAGCAAAAAGCAAAAACAATTATTCATTTGCAAAAAACATATAATTTTTGCGTCAAAACAAAAAACAACATTACATTAATTTTCAAAAACATTACGTGAAAATGACCTGGTATATTATTTAATGTTCAGATTAGTCGACTAAATAATATGAAAACACATAAATGAATGTACATTTCACTAGGAAAGGGCCGGGCTAGTTTGCAATTAGATCATTAATTTAATTATGTTAAATCCTGTATAAAATGAAAAAAAACATTTTTGTTGTTAAAGGCTTATTAATACTCGTTTATAGTAATGTTTAAAAAATTGAAATCATTTTCGATATATCGTAATATTACAATATAACCTATCAATTTTATTACTTAAATCATTGCGTAATTAGATTGTTAATTAGATTGTGTTTATCTCAGTCTACATGTATCTGTAAAATGTCATATTATACATTAAGAGCCTTAATTTAAGGCTCACAGTATCAGAATATCCCTTTAATAAGCTTTCACTTTGTAAAATAAATTGTGTCAATTCAAATACTGTATGTATCGTACAAATTAAATTAAGATTCTTGAAAATTTCTACCAAATCTATGCAATCAAGAATTTATCATTGAGTTTTGTTTAATGTAATACTTCATTTAAATAGTTTTCATTTCATGCATCCCTTTGATATAAATTAATAAATTGATTAATGAAATGAGAAGCTATTAGATCATGCTCACTTAAAGTAATACTAATTTGTGAGATCGTGACTTTAAATTAGGGTCAATGAGACTCAACATAATAGACTCAGACATTCATTAATATAGTCGTATTTTTAATGCTATTTTAAGTTTATTTTATTTTAATCATATGCAAAATTAATGAAATATTTATTCATTACTAAATATTCATAACATTAAAAAGAAATAAGTTAATATTCAAACTTAACATTATCATAAATAAAACAATGGATAAGTATTAAGAATTCTATTTGCAATTATTAAATAATGATTTATAATTTTAATTAATATTAAATTTCAAAAATTAGAAGAATTTGTGTATTTTTAGTTTTATTTACAAAGTTGTTTGCATTGAGGTGTATATTTTTATTTTTGGTTAAATATATGTTATTAATATTTTTTAGTGGGAGTTGTAAAGAGAGGTATAACTTAAATAGGAATACAATAATCCGATCTATAATATTAGACTTTTACAGTAAACATTTATTAATTATAACATTTTACTATAACCTTAAGTTAATCTAGACAAAAGATAATGTTTAGACATTTTATCCTAGTTTTATCATACAATTACCGGTATACATGTATGTATGTCTGTATCAAATAAAAATTTTCCAGAATATACATTTACCTGTACAGTATAGAATATTTTACAATGTATTAACTCTGAAAACTTTTATATAATTGCAAAACAAATTGAAAATTTATTCAATTATTAAACTATAATTATATATTGAGTGTTCATATACTGTATTGTCAAACTGATAAAGTTAATATAAAATATTATTGTCAAATTTGATAATCACTTATATTGATTACGGCTAATACTGAAACTATTATAAAGTACATTTATCATTAGTGGGAATTTCTCATACAAACAATCTTAAGAAAATACATTTACTATATTCAGACAATTAATTAATAATAACAGGAATAATGAGCGGAATAAATAATTTTCTTCTTTTTTCTTTTAACAGTTTATTAATCAAATTGTTATCAATTATTAAGTAAATAATATACTAACCACTTATTAATAATAAGTTATTATACTGTAGTGTATAGAGATATGCTGAGCACTTGTTTTCAGGTTTATGAATGAGAGTCTGTCCCATAATTATTTCATTTTTTCTTAAAGCTATATTAACCGTAATATAGCCACTAATTAATGTGTATAAATAAGGTGTGATATAAGTGACAAAAGCACATAGAGATTATTTTGTTTATGACTAATATTGAAACAAAGTCTGCAAACGTCTGAATTCTGTTGGGGAGGAGTTTTCAGACCAGGCTAACATTAAACAAAGTCAATGAAAAGTCAATGGCTTTTGATAATAAACATGGTCTCTAAGATTTTCATATGCAGTACTATATGCAGTAAATTGTGTGCATCGAAGTTATCCTTTTATTTGATTACATGAAGTGATTGTGAAAATAACTTTAACAAAATCATTGAACGATTAAATCACATGACACTGGTTAATCAATATTTTGGTTCAATTTTAATTATTTATTGACATATACTTTGAAATAATTATAGAGTACTTTAGATAGTTTTAATTGTTTAATTAGGAAGATTTTCATAATGTTTCTCTATAACATAACAAATATTTGACTTTCTATAATTATCTAGGATATTTTTTATAACCAAATAAACTCAAAAGTTTTTAAACATGTTTAAAACTTATTAATTGGTAAATTTTTGAAGGTTATGGGTTATATTATATGTTATTTATTGATAATTATTTATTTTATTTTAGTGGTAACCTTTACCCCGGATACATAACTTGTTTGAATTAAATTCCTTGACGTAAGTTATAAACATAAAACCAGCTTGAACCATTTCAATTAATGAAAGTCATTTTAGATAATATAATAAATAAACAAAAATAGTTAACTACAAAAAGTAATGACAATTAATTTTTAAAAATTTGTTTTTAATTTATAAAAATGGAAAATACAAACGAATAAACAGGAAATACATGAAATAATTATCAAAATCAACTAATTGTTTGACATAAATGTGTAAAAATAGATGTGAAGGCACACCAGAAATGCAAAATAGTCTAAAATGTTTGTTAATAATGGCATTANATCGCATACAACACCACGTCCTCCCAGTGCGCCTCATGTCGTACCGCGTGGTTTGATAACTGTATGCATTAATTGCGAGTTTAATTGATAGAAAATATTTTAATTAATGTCTTATTGACAGCTCAAACCAAGATATCCGACCGACCGCTGCTCATGGAGTTAATCAATAGGACACTCATGGAGTTTGACGCGCCCTCCGAATCACTGGCAGGCATTCCCTCCAAGAACTTCATTTGGTTCGACTTCGGGAGCCTAAGGCCGGCGCCCACTGACAGGGAAAGCAAACGCCGGTACGAAGACTTCAAGTGGCGGCTCCGGTACGAGCACCGGGATGTCAACGTATTCATGGCCACTCTTAATAAAGAGGACTTTAAGGACCTGTTAAGTAGGGATGAGAATTGGATCCAAATGGGAATGGGATCAGATTCATCAGACATGAAGTCCGTTGATTTGATGAATAAAATAACACAAACACCGCAAGTGTTTCAATACGGAGACTGTCGGCGCCAGAAGTCTAGCAATGAGGTCTACGAGGGGTACCTCACACCAGGGTATAAACAGTACTGGGCTATGTATCCCCGACACTTCATCAAGAGTTATTCCATAGACCTCCGAGTATGCGTTCAGATTATTTTTTGAGCTTAAAATTGGTATTAATTTATTTTTGTCATAATTTGTGCGTTTAGTTCAAAGCGGATAAGACTCGGCTCAGGGTATGTGTCGATCGGTTCCCAATCGCCGAGAATAATGAGAAGCACTGCAATGAGGCTCAAGAGGATGGCGGCGAAGTGAAGTTCACGATCACCGACCCCTGTAGGGGCAAGAGTTTTGAGTCCTGTCCCGGCATTCACGTCACTGTCGGACTCAGCTCGCAGGCAATCACAGCCGTCAGCGCCGGTAATGATTGTAAAGGTTTGTTGACTTCATTGACTGGTATTTCATGTGAGAGGTTATACTAAATGTGAATTTTTTGGGCAGATGTGAGGTGTCGATCACCCGATCAAATCAAGTGGACGCTCACCCACTCGGGTATATCGTGTAGTGGTGGCCGTACAGTAGTGGCCAACTGGACCTTTCAAATCATATGTTTTGTGTTANTTTGGGCAGATGTGAGGTGTCGATCACCCGATCAAATCAAGTGGACGCTCACCCACTCGGGTATATCGTGTAGTGGTGGCCGTACAGTAGTGGCCAACTGGACCTTTCAAATCATATGTTTTGTGTTATTTCTTACCCTATTCTGCACTAATGGTAAACGCAATTAGTATTTGGATTAATCGCAACAACAATAGTATTAATAAATTGAATTTCTGTGAATTAATGCCATTATTAACAAACATTTTAGACTATTTTGCATTTCTGGTGTGCCTTCACATCTATTTTTACACATTTATGTCAAACAATTAGTTGATTTTGATAATTATTTCATGTATTTCCTGTTTATTTGTTTGTATTTTCCATTTTTATAAATTAAAAACAAATTTTTAAAAATTAATTGTCATTACTTTTTGTAGTTAACTATTTTTGTTTAAATACGTATTATCTAAAATGACTTTCATTAATTGAAATGGTTCAAGCTGGTTTTATGTTTATAACTTACGTCAAGGAATTTAATTCAAACAAGTTATGTATCCGGGGTAAAGGTTATCACTAAAATAAAATAAATAATTATCAATAAATAACATATAATATAACCCATAACCTTCAAAAAATTACCAATTAATAAGTTTTAAACATATTTAAAAACTTTTGAGTTTATTTGGTTATAAAAAAATATCCTAGATAATTATAGAAAGTCAAATATTTGTTATGTTATAGAGAAACATTATGAAAATCTTACTAATTAAACAATTAAAACTATCTAAAGTACTCTATAATTATTTCAAAGTATTTGTCAATAAATAATTAAATTTGAACCAAAATATTGATTAACCAGTGTCATGTGATTTAATCGTTCAATGATTTTGTTAAAGTTATTTTTACAATCACTTCATGTAATCAAATAAAAGGATAACTTTGATGCCCACAATTTACTGCATATAGTAGTGTATATGAAAATCTTAGAGACCATGTTTATTATCAAAAGCCATTGACTTTTCATTGACTTTCAAATTACAATCGGACCAGACTTTTGAGGAGGGGTTGTCTTAAGTCTGCAAACGTCTGAAACAAAGTTATAATCAGTATTTGTTTTATTAGAGATACACGAAAACAGTGAATATAGTGTGGAATAAAT